ATTAGATGACCAATACAAAAATCTTGAAAGCTTTTTTCTAATAAGGAAAAGAAAAAGTTAACAGAAATTAGAAAACAAACCTGCGTATCCAGCAAGTGAACCATAAGTATTGCTTTCTTTTCTGTAAACAACGCATAAAAGTTGTGGAAATAGAATAACGTAAACGAGATCGGCGCACAGATACCTGCAAATACTTTCTGATGACTAAGTCAAGACGCAGAAATTGCTCTTACCATAATCCATAGATACTTTGAATTGTCAGCGCCATTACGGTAGCCATTGCGCCAACGGCAACAATAGAGAATCTCATTATCAAGATTACTTCCTTCTCTGATGCCTAGATTTATATCGATAAGTAGCGTATGGTTTGTGAAATTGATTTTACTCACATTTGGTCTAATGGTAAGCTTCCAGATATTGTGAGCGAACATCGATGCAGCGGAAAGCACTGAAGAATCAGCCGATGACATTACGGCTGCTGATACTGCTCCCAGACCTGAAGCCTTCATTTGTAAATTCAATTGTTCCCTTGTTCCCTACTGTTGATCATAATGAAATACAAAATTCTTTTGATGAACGCGTCTTTTCCTTCTTTTTGTACCATAAGACTTCAAAGGCAATGTCCCGGCAAATCTTCGTTCTCCTTTTTCACATTTTCGGACCTCCTCGCCATGAACCCACATCGAGCTTTTGCGCGCATGAAAATAGCGAAATTGAGCTTTTTCAAAACTTTTCCAGGTCCGCATTCAGAGGTAATACGCTGGAAGTCTTCCGCGCCCCTCCTCCTCGATTTTCGGACTCCGCCCACTTACGCGTAGTTTTCACTGAATGCGGATCTGAAAAATTCGAGAAAATCTTATTTTTGCCATTTTTATGCGCGGAAAAGCTCAGATATGGGTACCTCATGACGAGAAGGGCCCGAAAATGTGAAGAACTGAAAAATGAAATCTTGAAGGGACACTGCCTTCAAGCAGCGATGGGCGGGGCCTATGCGGACAGTAGGATACAATACAATGTTATGTGTTGAGATGTCTTGGCTTTTGGTTGTAGCAGATATCCGCGCTGAAGGAAATTTTGCGGCGCAAAACCTTCTATCCATTTTTATGGTCTTACGCATAGATGGAAAACTCGACCTAATGTCCGCGGCTACTCAACGAAAAAAAAATCGTAGACGGAGCGCAAGACTTGGCAGTTATATGCTCCTATACAAAGTGCGGCAGACCTCTGAGATTTGATTTCACTTTACTGCCCTGTCCGGGTTTGGTAAGCCGAAATAACCGAACAAATGAATTTAGCTGAATTTCGGTTTTGGATCATCTAAGGTTGCTTTTGTTGCTTTTGCATGGAGTAAAGAGTGCTGAGTGGGCGTGGCTCAAGGGGTGCAACCAGGGCTCGGCACGCGTTGGTTTGGAGCGTTTCT